GGGGGGGGCTTTATCCACATAAGCACGAAAGTCTTAGTGAACAAATGTGAAGCTCAGGTATGAGATATTGTGAGAATTGAATGGATAATACATCTCGATCTTATATCTTGTGGCTCAACACTGACAAAGAATAGTTTCTGGGATATGTTGCTTCCAAAACTTCTTTTCAGGATAGTTGAGGATAAGATAGAAAATCTCCAAAATGGACATTTACGTGTTCATCTTCCCAGTTTTAGTCTAGTCAGTTTTAATGTGAAGGTTTTTACAGAGTTGTTCCGTCGACATGTGTTTGCTGGAAATCATTGCCTTATTGTAAGTAATTGCCTTGGGATCATGATATCTATTAGTTAAAAATTATCCCCTGTTCACTGTTTTCCCTCAAGACAGTATTATCTCACAAGATCATGTATCACAGTCAATGTCAACTTTGAGACTTTGTCATTATACAATTCTGTAGAACCACTGGTAGGTGTTCTATCTCTCACTTTGGTTCTGTTTCACTTCTGTAAAATGTTCAGAGCTTGTATTATATGAATTATGTATTAGTTGCAGGTCTGAGAAGTGATAATCATGTTAGTGCTTCACTGAGGATGACATTTCCCACAGTTGTTAAGCTGGGGATGATTTGGTCTCAGAATGATAGTGGAGGCTGTGCTGATTGATTCCTGTGTTTGGTTCAGCGAGGCAAAGCCAACATCCTGAACTCTTCAGGGGAATGAGTGAAACCCATCACACCCTCCACGCTGGGCATTTCTCCAGGAACAGGAGAGAAGGTGAAGCGTTGGAGGAGAGACGTAAAGAAAAGGAACAGCTCCTTTCGGGCCAGTGGTTCCCCAATACACACACGTTTACCTGAAGGAAAACATTGAGAGCATTTGTCTTGCAATTATTGTATCTTACACAACAACCTGTTGTAAATGCTTCTTGTTAGATGTGAACTCTAATCAGTGTGAAACACACCTGCTGAAAATGGTAAGAAGGCATCTCTCCTGAGGAACTGGCCCTTTGAATCCAAGAAATGTTCAGGATTGAATACGTCCGGAGTCACCCACTCGTTCTTATCAAACAGCACAGATGAGAGGGCCGTAGTAATACTTGTGCCCTGTAAAAGGAGGCATTCGATGTTTTTGATAATAGCTGCATAGAAATGATTTACAGAACTGACAGCTTGAATTTTATCTGTGGGTGAGTCTGGTCAATAGTCTTTTACCTTGGGAATGAAGTATTCTCCCAGTGTAGTGTCTTTACTGGCCATTTTTGGGAATCCAAAGGGAACAATATTCCCCAACCTCTGGGTCTCATGGATGACGGCCTCAGCGTAGGGCATGTTGGGTCTGTCGGCCATTGTAGGCTGGCGAGACTGTCCGATCACTCTGTCTATCTCTGCCTGGACTTTCTCTGAAAGAGGAAATGGCAACAACTATAACAGGCATCTCAATGGACATCAAGACTGAACTCACCGACAATCATTAGTAACCTTCATTGAAATGCTCTAATGCTTAATGCGATTAATAAAATACTAACCCTGTATCTCTGGGTAGTTCATCATGTATACGAGGGCCCAACGTAAAGTGGTGGCAGCTGTTTCTGTTCCAGCCTCGATCAGGTCGAGGGTGCAAACCAGCAGTGTTTCTTGGTTGAAGCCAGCCTGGGGATCCTCTTTTTTCTAACGTATCAACAGAAATTATTGTTAATACATTTTTCTGCTGTGCTAATATACATTTTTCAACAAGGCTGGAAGATGTAATTTTTCTTTTTTCATTCACATTATAGTGCACATTCTTGTAGCCACATTGAACTGCATGCTTTACTAGTACGCTATGAACAAGGCATTGTAGCAGCATTCCTCATTGAAACCACAAGGACTGATAACTATGCAGATGTTTTGTCCATTTTGAAAGTGACACTGTAATTTACGTCTTGAAGGAAGATAATGTGGCTTATTAGTAGGCAACAGCTCATCCATCCATCCATCCATCCATCCTTCCATACATTTTCTTCCACTTATCTGAAATCGGATCGCGGAGGCAGTAGCTCAAACAGATTATTCTAGACATCCCTCTTGCAGGCAATGCTTTCCAGTTCTTCCTTTGGGATCCCAAAATGTTTCCAGGCCAGAGGAGATTTATAATCCTCAAGCAGGTCTTGGGTCTGCCCTGGGGTTTCTTCCCATGCAGACATGCACAGAAAACCTCCAAATTAAGTTGCCCAGGTGGCATCCTAATCAGATGTTTGAACCACCTCAACTGGCTCCTTTCGATACAAAGAAACAGCAACACTACTCTGTGTTCCCTACAAATGTCTAGGCTTCTCACCCTATCTTTAAGACTGAGCCCACACACTCTACTGAGGAAA